CTGAAAAAAAGGACACACGCGGATCAGACTTACGAGGTTACTTACAAGGTGAAAGGGGACAGCCATTGGAGTTAGAGTATTCCAAGGTCCTTGTATTATCTAGAAGGAGGAGTGGGATGTTTAGGCTCTGTTAATGTGCAATGTAAAATTTTAAGGGTAGCCACTCCAAGAACAGGAATAGGGTCAATGACTTCCAAACCAGTAGACAGAAAAAGTGGAATATGAAAACAAAAATTCAGGCTACTTTTAAGAATGAAAGAAAGAAGAACAAAAAGCAGAGCAAAGGTGGGACAAATAGAAAGCAAAAGGTAAAATAGTAGATACAAGCAAAATATACTAGTAATAATAAATTAACAGTATATAATTCAAAGTGGGATAGTGAAAAACACCTTTCTTCATTATTATTTTTTAAATAAATTTATATCCCCTCCACCCATTTCTCCCCCCCCCAACCTCTGATGACTACCAATCTGTTCTCTATGAGTTTGTTTTTGGTTTTGTTTTTAGATTCCACCTATAAAAGACATATTTGTCATTCTCTAATTTCACTTAGCATTGTGTCCTTGAGGTCCATCCATGTTTTCACAAATGGCAGAATTTCCTTTTTTATGGCTGAATAATAGTGTGTGTGTGTGAGAGAGAGAGCGAGAGGATGAGAGTGAGCGAGAGATAAATATGCAGAAGTGGAATTGCTGGATTATATGGTAGTTCTATTTTTAATTTTTTTTTTTTGGAGGGGCAGGGAGGGGTAGAGGGAGAGAGAGAACCTTAAGCAGGCTCCACACCTAGCGCGGAGCCCAACAGAGGGCTCGATCTCACAACCCTGAGACCATGACCTGAGCTGAAATCAAGAGTCAGACACAACCAAATGAGCCACCCAGGCACTCCTATTTTTAATATTTTTGAGGAACCTCCACACTGTTTTCCATAATAGCTGCACCAAAATACATTCCTACCAACAGTGCACAAATGTTCCCTTTTCTCCACATCTTTGCGAACACCTGTTATTTCTTATTGACAACAGCCATTCTAATGGGTATGAGCTATTCGTGTATATAACTACAGAAAATGGACGCACAAGGAAACACCAAATTCATGTTCATATTGGCTTTGGAGGAAGAGAAGCAAGTAATGGTGTTGGACTTGCAAATCCAATAGGGTTTTTATCTGCAATGTTTTCTTCCATTGAAATTTTTCAATGAGCCAATATTTAATGATGGTCAGTCAATTCTAAGTAGCAGGAATATGGGTATTATTTTCTATACTTTTTAAGTTTCTCTAAATAAACATGGTACAAATTTTTACCAAGTCTTAACCAACTGGAACATGTGTATGTATTGTCTTCCTTTGGCTCTGTGCTCTAATTAAGGGTGTATCTACAGACCCCACCCTCCACATGACTCAAACCAAAACCTACATTCTCCTGAAATTGTCAAGCTTCTCCTGTTTGAAGTTCTACAAAATCACCTTGTTTCACTGCTTCTCCACTTTCTGTGTTTGTGTAGGTAGAGCCACAGCGTCCTTGGGCTGAGGGGAAGATGTCTAGCGGCAGCAGTCTGGCCAGCAGCAGGAGACTCTGGGTACTGGCACAGGTTCTGACACACAGTCCTCTGAGGCCAATTTTGAGCCCTGGGCTTGTTTCTGAAGCACCGGTGCCTCTTCCTTTAAACATATCGCCAGTGGGCGCCTGGGTGGCTCAGCTGGTTAAGCCACTGCCTTCGGCTCAGGTCATGATCCTGGAGTCCCCGGATCGAGTCCCGCATCGGACTCCCTGCTCGGCAGGGAGTCTGCTTCTCCCTCTGACCCTCCCCCCATCTCATGTGCTTTCTCTCTCTCTCTCTCTCTGAATCTCTCTCTCTCTCTCAAATAAAATAAATAAATAAATCTTTAAAAAAATAAACATATCGCCAGGGCGCCTGGGTGGCTCAGATGGTTAAGCATCTGCCTTCGGCTCACGTCATGATCCCAGGCTGCTGGGATCAAGTCCTGCATGGGGCTCCCTGCTCTTGGGGAGCCTGCTTCTCCCTCTGCCTCTCTCTCTCTCTCTCTCTCTCTCTCTCTCTCTCTCTCTCTGTCGCTCATGAATAAATAAGTAAAATCTTAAAAAAATAAAAATAATAAACATATCGCCCGTAGTCAGGCTGGACCAGTACGGGAAGGGCATGTGGAAAATTTTAAGTCTTGTAGGTATCAGACTATGTAACTTTTCCCTTTTATTTTGATCTCCATTCACGTTGTTTAAAAAGTAAGTTCAGAAAATCAGTCAATGCATTAACAATTCCCTTTTCAAAAGGAGGCCCCGGCGCCTGGGTGGCTCAGTTGGTTAAGCGACTGCCTTCGGCTCAGGTCATGATCCCGAAGTCCCGGGATCGAGTCCCGCATCCGGCTCCCTGCTCAGCGAGAAGTCTGCTTCTCCCTCTAACCCTCCCCCCTCTCATGTACTCTCTCTCTCTCTCTCATTCTCGCTCTCTCAAATAAATAAATCTTAAAAAAAAAAAAAAAAAGGAGGCCCAATGAAAGCATGGAGGATGGTGAATGAAAAAAATACCTATCACTGATGGCCTGGCGGGTTCAGTGGGTAGAGCATGTGACTCTTGATCTCAGGGTTGTGAGTTCGAGCCCCATGTTGGGTGTAGAGATTACTTAAAAATAAAATCTTAAAAAAGTAGTCAATCAATCCAATAATCACCGATGTCAATGGGCAAATCAGTGAGAGGCAGTTTAAGAGGTAAGAACCAGCATCTAGGTACTTCCTGGGGAAACAAGGAAATAATCTGGGAATGAGAATAAAGTCAAAAGCACAGGACACCTGGCTGGCTCTGTCAGAAGAGCATGTGACTCTTGATCTCGTGGTTGTGAGTTTGAGCCCCATGTTGGGCATAGCAATTACTTTGAGGAAAAAAAAATAGTAAAGTCAAAAAGCAGGATCAGCTTGACTAAATACATTTTATACTGAAGTTCAATACCTCTCACAGTATTTTCTTCAGACCTTTTTCTGTAACAATTCTGTCTAGTAACAAGTGACTAACGCTACTGTCAGTGTCCTGGGCCCCGGAAATGAGTAGGTGGAAAATGTAGCCCAAACTGGTATGTTCAATTCCAGGTATCCCAGAAATTATACCCAAACAGAAAATAGTGACAGAACAAGCCAGCTGAGGAATCAGATTGCACTGCCTATTCGTGGTGCAGACTTGAATACACCTCATGAATGTACTCTGTGCTCCATGGGCAGAGAAGCTTCCCTGGCCTCTAAGGAAGGGCCCAGATATTTCTTCAAGCACAATTAACACTTTTGTAATAACAGGTCCCGTTAACATGAACTTTTTGAATCCCACAAGCCTGGCTCCACATGCTGGCTCTGCAACTTCTGAAGGGCTTTGGGTCTCTCTATAATGGAAGTATTGGGCTGTTGTGAAAAACACAAGCAACAATATATAAGGACATAGCAAGCATCCAATAAATTATACCTTAATGGTCTTGTAAAGGGTATCCAGATTCCTAAAGTTTTACAAGAAAATATAATCCTTCATTAAACAGTATCACAGAGCTGCTCCTCAACCAGGGTTTCCTGGTCCTAGCCCAACCACCCAGGATTGTTTCTTAGAAGAACTAAGGACTCAAAAAAAGTAATTAGGGACATGTCTTCAGCTAGCCTTGTCCCATCACTGGAAATTTCCACTCTGGGGCCTTTTTACCTTCTCCCCCCTACCTCAGTCTTTCACCAATTATTTATTGAAAACTCTCTGCTCAAGACACTGGTTTAGAAGAAAATACAAATATGAAAAGTCTTTGTCTTCCAGGAGCTTTCAATACAGGGTTGCAAACAAGAAATCAGTGCTCGCTAAGCAGAATCCTTGTAACACAATTTGCTTAAGAATTCAGTCATTATTACTTTGCAGACTGATTAACCTAAATAATAGATTGTTCCCTCTTGTCTCTCTATCCCCCTTCTTTCACATACTTGCTCAGCATCTAGAAACTGCTTCAACTCTTACCAACCCTAAAGATCAAATAATCCTTTACATTAACCTCAAGCCGACGGAAGAAATTACACAATGGGGCCTGGATGCCCCCATGCCCCCCAATCTTCTGGGCCCTCAGAATCCCTTCAAATGTCTGTATATTGTCACTGGGCACACTCTCCACAGGGACCACTCACTGCCCTCCTCAAATGGCCCACTCAACAACCCTCCTCCCTCTCTGCTGGTGACAGTGAAAATCCAAACCACCTGAAACTCACCCAGGCCTGCTCTACATCCACTCTTTAAACAAATATTTATCAGAGCCTACTATGAGCCTGCACTGTGCCGATGTGGGAGATACCAGAGGGAGAGCCAAGCGGCCATAGCCCCTGCCTTCCAGAACCTCAGTCCACTCTTAAGTTCCACATGAAGCAAAAATTACACAAATAACCGCACACCCCGACAAGGACCAAGGAGAATTCCAAGGGCTGCAAGGGTTCAGGGACAGGATAGTTCTCCTTAAAAAATGATATTTGAAGCGCAAGCTCAACACCAAAGTGGAGGACAGCTAAGGGAAGAGGCAGGGAGGAGTGCCCCGCAGAGGGAAGAGCATCTGCAGAGGCCCCGGGGAGAGAAAAAGCTTGCATCATTTGAGAATCTACATGGGGCCTCATGCGCGCCTTAAGGAGTTTGGGTCTTTACAGAAGTAACCGGAACCCATAACGAGATTTCAAGGGGCGAATGCCACAAACAGATTTACCTGCCCAGTGGCTTCAGAGCAGACACAAGGTCTGTTTTTGCCACCAGGTTATCCCCAGCGTCCGGCCCCGCGCCTGCTATCAGCGGGTCTTACCAGCCCGGGGCGGCGGGACGCGGTGCAGGACTTAAGGTTTGGGGCTTGGGGATGACGGAGGGCCTCTGCAGAGAGCGCAGAGCCCTCCGCTGAGGCAGCAGGCGGGGACTGCGTCGGCGGTGCTCGGGCGCGGGTGGCGGCCTGCGCTGGGCACCTCAGGGGACCTGAAGCGCCACAGAGTCGGCGCGCTCGCAACTGGCGGCGGCCGAGCTTCCAGCTTCCGAGGAGAAAGCGCCCGCTTCTCGGCGAAGGGAGCAAGGCCACGCGGACTACGCGGCGGAGTGGGAAGTGGCCCAGAGCCTCCCGCGGTGCACGGCGGCCAGGTGAGCCCCGCGGCCCAGGGGGCGCGGCCCCAGAAGCCCCTGCGCGCAGCCACGGGCGTCCCCGCTGCAGGGCGGCGGCGGCGGCGGCGGCGGCGGCCATCTCCGGGCGGCGGCGGGCGCTGCGAGCGGTGGGCGGTGTCTACGCGGACCGTGAGACGGGGCGGGTGAGGCGCTGGGCCGCGCCGGGTGTGTTCCGGATGTTTTGTGTCCGCCGGGCAGAGGCAAGGAGCCGGGGGGGGGGGGGGGGGGGGACAGTCTGCGGGTCGCCCTTACCTAGCCAGGCCCTGCGACCCTAAGATAATCCTCTTCCAGCCCTTTTTTCCTGGACGCGTGAGCAGACTGCATTTTGCAAAGCCTAGATCGTAAGGTGCTGTAACTGGGCTTCTTTACCTAAGAATGCAGCGTGCGCAGCTAACCGTGGCTCTGCGTGTTTTTCTGCGTCCTCTGTATTGGCCGCCCTGGACTGCGTTCCTGTGTGCCAGGTTGACCGCAGCATCCATCCGTCCCCGGGGCCTGGCCCTGGCTGGACGTGCAGTTTGTTGAGTGAGAGGACTGTGATTTACTTCATGGAGTCCTTCCCTGCTGGTGGACGTGGTTTTCATTTTGTAGCTAATACAATAAAAGGCGTTTCGTTGAGCACTGTTATGTCTAGTGTGTTGAGCATGATCAATTGTTAATAGAATGATCTCTCCTAAGGCTTGTGGTTTACATTGTAAAAATGCTCCTCAGAAAAGTTACCAGTTCTTGTACCTCCGGTAGCATTTGGGGACACCTGGCTCCTGGAGCCTCCTGACCGACTTTGCTGGGTCCCAGTGCTTCACGTGGGTCTCGACATACAGTGTCAACACCTGTTTGTTAAAGAGTGACCTTGTGGCTGGCCTTACCTAGAGCTTTTGCTGAAAAGGGAACTATGAATATCTTAGTTAATTTTTAAAACGGACTTGGGTTTAGCTTGGACAGACCATTACAGCCCCCAGTGAGGTTAAACCCAAGTTAAGGCAAAATTCAAGCTGGGTTAGATGAACGGTGGAAACGTCTTAATGGTTAAGTCCTACTCTGAAACGTGACCGTTGAATTGCTAGGGAAGAGATTTTAAAAGATTATGCTGATGCCTAGACTCAAAAAGCTTTCTTCAAAGACATGTAAAAAGTTTCGAGTGACATCATCCTCATCAGTGAAAATAAATGGAATTTGCTTTTCCATCCTTTTCATTTATTTTATTTTACTGTTATTTTTTAAGTAGGTTCCATGCGCAGCATGGAGCCCAAAGCAGGGCTTGGACTCACCACCCTGAGATCAAGACCTGAGCTGAGATCAAGAGTTGGATGCTTAACTGACCGAGCCACCCAGATACCCCTTCATTTACATCTTTAAAATTTTATGCTAAAATGGAATATTCTCTTTAATGATCATTTTTCAGTTTGGTCACATGATCCTGAAAATCAAGTGTATGTATAAGAGTTTAAGAATGACGGTGGGTTAATTCCTTTCTCTCAAGTTTTAAACCAGTCTTCTCTAGCCTTCGCACCCATTTGGCAGGGCTGGGATCCTTTCTCTGTGGGCCCATTCTGTCCTTTACTGGTTCTCTTTACAAGGACACCCCCATGTCTGTGTCATAATCATCTTTTGGTCTCTCTAGGGCCCCTCACTGAGCTTAGTGTCCAGCTCAGTGCCGGGCACATAAGTGCCTGATAACTATTAGCATGGTGAATGAATTTACAGTATGACATGTGTTTATTAAGTCCAGTTTGTAAGATGTGTGACGGATATTTCTCATTTTTCAAGGGAGTAAGGTAGACACTGGAGACAAGGACAGTCGTGATCTTTTGGTTATAGATACAGTCACATTCCAAGAAACACTACCAGCAGGGCACCTAGGTCTTTCCTTTTTGTGTAATTCACGTGCCATACAATTCACCCATTTAAAGTGTATAATCCAGTGTCTTTTTGTATATTAAAATATTATTTTTTTAAGTTGTGGTAAAAAACATATGACATCAAATTTACCATTTTAACCATCTTTAAGGGTACAGTTCAGTGGGATTAAGTACATCCACAATTTTGTGCAACCATCACAAGTTCCAAAACTCTTCAGCACTTCAGATAGATACTCCATAAATAAATGAATGTATGAATGAATGTCGATAGTTTAGGGAAAATTTTCAAGAAATAAATGTGACCTTAATTTCTCACTTCCCTTCTAATTTGTTGTGTTGTCTTTTATACTTCTAGATGAAAAGTTATTATAATTAAGATGGTACCATGCCTTACCGTACTGTGATAATAACTGAAGTTCCTTATAATGGAAAACTGGGCGGTTCTTTCAAGTTTGAATGCTGAATTACTGAACTTTCTAGGGTCTCTAAAAGTTGCAAAGCAAAATTTGAATGATATCCCTAAGCCCACTCTGATTTGCAAAGGATGGCTTATCCAAGTTTATATTATGCTATTTGGCTTCCTCTATTGCTGTGTATTCACTTTGCTTTTGTAGTTGTAGGATACCCTCCACTTTCATAGGAGATATCCTAGGGCTTCTTGAGATTAGAAAAGTTCACAAATTTGTAAGGTGCTCCCAAAACAAAGGGATTTATTTTAGGTACAAAGTGTTTGAATCTTTTTCTTATTCTAAAATTTTTATGTTTTCCTTGCCTGCTGGATTGCTTTTATCAGTGTTAACCTCTTCTTTAACATCTTTTTGAAAAACGGTTTGTGTCTTCTGGCTGTTTCCAGCTAAAGAAGTTTGGCGATCTCCCATTTTTAACAAGGAGAGAGCACTCTAGGGCATTTGTAGAGAGAAGGCTAGGCCAGAGTAGATCTGGGGAGCAAAAAATAGTTGAAGCTATTTTTCAGTAGGTTTGGAAGGGATACAGCTGTTAATCCCAAATCTTATGCATGTGTGAATATATGTGTGCTTCTGATTTTAGTAAAATTTAATTAGTATTACAGCCTAGTTAATTCTGAGATAATTGCATGGGAGTACTGGGCTGTAGTTCTGGCTCAGGCCCTACAAGTGACCTGAGCAAACCACATAACTTTTGTGGATTCATTATTGGCACTAGTAAATTAGGTGGGCTTGAGTAAGTGGGTAAATTAAGTTTGCTGTTAGAAAGCAAACTAGCATATCCTTGGCTGCTTCCTGCAAACTAGTCATTTCTTTGAAGGTATCTAAAATTTTTTTTTAATTATTGATTGATTTTTTTCAGTAAGCTCTACCCCAACGTGGGGATTGAGCTCACAACCCCGAGATCAAGAGTCACATGCTCTACCAACTAAGCCAGCCAGGTGCCCCTAAAATATTTTAATTATGTATTCCACCATAATATATAGCCTTCTAAAATTGAATATTAAGATTGCATTTTAAATTTGTTACCACCCTGTAACATCGATGCTTCCTGAAGATGCATACTGTTTATTCTGGAGTTTTATGTATTCCCTGACCCACTGACTCATACCCTTGGGGCCTCTTATACCTCTCAATTTGAGAAGTGCGGGACCCAGAGGACCTCTAGGTCCCTTGCAGCTCTGATGTGGTATCATATTTGTCTCTAATTTTGGGAAACTATAAATTTATAACAGGGAAAAATATGATTGGTCAATTTGCATGGCTTAATTTCTTTTCTTGAAAACTGGAGTTTGCAATTCTATTGTATGTAAAAGCTGTTTCATGAGAAACTGCATGCAATTTGAGAAATGGATTGCAAACTTAGAAAAAAATCCTTTACAGATGTTATCTTTGTTGCTCTCAGTCTTTCTTTGCTGCAATCCTGCTTTTTTCTTTCCTGCCTGCTAATTGGATTAAAGACTGTTTTGCCAAACCATGGCATCTGGAGGCGACAGTCCTGTCTTTGAAGATGATGAAAGGTAAATGTCTTGCATGGCAATAAAACTAGCTTTTGAAACTTTCAAGATTGTTTTTGTCACTCAAGAGTTATTTATCCAGGCTACTTTGTTAAGGACACATTTTATAAACTTGCAGAATGCATGGTTTTGCTCTTCTGTGATTTAGAGCAAGGGTAGTAAACGCCTGGCACGGAGGTGGCCACCAATGGGACACATCTTTTCCCATAGGGCCTGCATGTAAGGTCTCCAAATCTGTCGTAGCACAGAGTTCTTGGCAATCACTTCAAAATGGTATCAAATCAATCCACTTACCATTTCTGATTGACAGCACACAAAGGACGTTAGAGTGAATAAAGAGTAAGACGTAGTTAAGAGAGCAGGCTCAAAATATGTTCTGTATAGGTATTACATAATATCATGTATGGTATTCACATGGCACAGATAGGGGAAGTATATATTTTATATTAAAATATTAATATCTAAAAGGTGTATTTAAGTTGTGCCAGAAGCTTATGACAAAACAGAATCCTTTATTTTTTTTAATAAGATTACTATAGTAAAGACAAGAATTAACCATCTTCCATACATTTTTATCTCTTTTATTATAGGACATTTCTTGTATGACTTCTCTTCTGCTCAGTATAATAAATTAGAACCCTTTTTGTTAAAATGAATCCTAACTGATTTAAGTTTGAAAGGCTTGGGGAGTTCTTGTTTTGGAGTGAATGGATCTGAAAAGAAAAACCAGAATTAAATACTGTGCTTTTTAAATGGGGATGTAGGAAGAAGTAGAGACTTTTTACTGACCTTTCCAGGCATTATTCTGTAGCCCAGCTTAGAATACTATCCTGGATAAACTGATGGGTTCTTAATCCTATTAATATTAAGGTGACTTTGTTTGGAATTACCTGACTATATACCCATATATAGTAGTTTCATCTTAAAGGAAGAGTATATAGGAGGAAGAAGATAGTTACATGTACTGTGAGTAGAAATTCTTAGGTACTGTCACTTTAATGTCTTGTAATTTTAGGGGTTTAAAAAAACCTGATATTTTCATTTTGGAAAGATTAATTGGTTATTTTCTTACTGTTTTTGGCCTATTGTAATTGCTTTATTTTATTCCCTTAGCCCTCCTTATAGCCTGGAAAAAATGACAGATCTTGTAGCCGTTTGGGAAGTTGCTTTAAGTGATGGAGTCCATAAAATTGAGTTTGAACATGGGACCACATCAGGCAAACGAGTGGTATATGTAGATGGGAAGGTAGGAAAAAAATGAGTTATTTTGTAAAATATGGTATACATAGAAGCTTGATTTTGTTAACATAGATTCTTCATATGTAAATTCAAGGCTTTTCTCTTACATTAGTTATCTTTATATTGGCGCCTGGATCATATTGCTGGACCAAGCAAACTAATAATAGCTATAGAATCCATAGACAATAACATTTAAACTTGAGGTGCTTTTATTTTCTAAAATATTTGAATCATGGAGTAATAAAATTACATCTAAATAGCATTGCTATTTACTCACTTTAATTATAGCACTTCTAAAGCTAAATATTAAATTTTCTTTCATTTGCGTGCTTTTAACTTTTATATTTTATTGCTTAGGAAGAGATAAGAAAAGAATGGATGTTCAAACTAGTGGGCAAAGAAACCTTCTGTGTTGGAGCTGCAAAGACAAAAGCAACCATAAATATAGATGCTGTCAGTGGATTTGCGTATGAGTATACTCTGGAAATTAATGGGAAAAGTCTCAAGAAGTATATGGAGAACAGGTCAAAGACCACCAATACTTGGGTATTACATTTGGATGGTGAGGACTTTAGAGTTGTGTTGGGTAAGTGAGTGCCGTTTCTGCAGAATTTATTGGCTTTTTATGATGGTGGTTAATTAGTTCCCCTAACCACCCAGACCCTTTATGCAAGCTTGGAATAGAGTTTAAGTGTGTGTAGGTGTATTTCTGATGTGTCCTATGTGAACAAAGTATTCATTTAAATGACTGATTTATATGAGAGCCAGATTTTGTAGTGATGGATTGGAGATTGTAAACAGGTTTAAAAAAAGAAATTTTAAAAAAATTTTAAAAAAGAAAAAAAGAAACCTTTTAAACAGGTTTTAAAAAAGATGTAGACATTTGTTATTTATTATTGATATTTCTATTATTATTATTGATATTTCTCTTTTAAAAGGATATATAGAGACAGTTGGAAATTTAAGCTTGATCAGCAACGAGGGAATTTTTCTCTAGGTAGCAAGAGGTTTAGTACTGCAGCACATCAAAATTGTCAAAGTCCAGATAAAGTAGATTAAAAAATAAAAAGTAACAAGCCGTTGATCTTTAAGCTAAGTTCTATTGTTACACATTGGCATCTGTGTTGTTTTCCACTGGGCCTATAAAACTTAAGAGACAAATATTTACAAGTTACTATCTTTTCTCTCTTCTGGTACTCCCAGTATTTCCTGCTTCTCATATCACTAAAGTTAAGACCATTTGGATTATCTCATTAATTCCTTGATTCATTTATTTAGATAATATTGAGTACCTACTAAATACCAGTTAGCATATCAGGCACTGAGGATATGTAGATGAAGAGATGTTGTCCATGTCTTTAAAGAGTCTACAGTCTAGTCAAATGCTAGCATGTACTTTTTAAAAAATTCTTTTTAAGAATGAAAAATGTGGGGGCACCTGGGTAGCTCAGTTGGTTAAGCCTCTGACTGTTGGTTTTGGCTCAGGTCATGATCTCGCCGTCATGGGATCAAGCCCTGTGTTGGGCTCTGCACTCAGGGCAGAGTCTGCTTCAGATTCTCTCCTGCCTCCTGCTCACTTTCCTCTCTCTCTCTCAAATAAATAAATAAAAACTTTGAAAAAAAAAAAAAAAGAAAAACGTTTGGGGCACTGGCTGGCTCAGTTGGTGGAGCACGTGACTCTTAATCTCAGGGTCGTGAGTTCAAGTCCCACGCTGGGTGTAGAAATCACTTAAATAAACTTTTAGAAAAATGAAAAATGTTTATCAAGTAATTAAATGCACATAGTTGAAAAAAACAAACAAACCAGAAACTATTGAAGAAACTGGATCAGTTCGTCTTGAAGAGTTTCCTGTGGTCTGGATTTTGTTGATTGCAGTTCCGTGATGTTTCTGTTTCTTTTTCTTTTTAATATATATAATTTTAAAGTTTTTATTTTGAAATAATCTACACCCAAAGTGGGGTTTGAACTTACAACCCTAAGGTCAAGAGTCGCATGCTCTATCAACTGAGCTAGCCAGGCGCTCCCTCACCTCTGTTTCTATTTCTTATATATTGGTAGTTGACTGAAGAATTGGTTAAATTTAGGTTTGATCTTTTTTTCTGGCTAGACTACTTTATAGTTTTGTTATATCAAGAGGCACATGGTGTTTGTGAATTTATTTTATTTTATTTATTTATTTATTTTTATTATTTTTTAATTTTCTTTTTAGATTTTGATTTATTTATTTGAGAGAGAGAGACAGAGATAGTGAGAGAGAGCACAAGTGGGGAGGAGAGGGAGAAGCTCTCTCCCCACAGAGCAAGGAGCTCAATGCAAGGCTCGATCCCAGGATTCCAGGATCACGACCCAAGCCGAAAGCAGATGCCCAACTGACTGAGCCACCAGGCACCCTATTTATTTTTTCTAAAAGATTTTATTTATTTATTTGACAGAGACACGGTGAGAGAGGGAACACAAGTAGGGGGAGTCGGAGAAGCAGACTTCCTGCAGAGCAGGGAGTCTGATGTGGGGCTCGATCCCAGGACCCTGGGACCATGACCTGAGCCGAAGGCAGACACTTAACGACTGAGCCACTCAGGCGCCCCGTTTGTCAATTTTTTTGATGTTGGCAACCATTAATACCTAATTTTTGCATCCAGTAATTCCTTAGCAGTTGCCAAATGGTGATATTCTGGAATATTTCTAGAATGAAAAATTTCTTGTCATCTACTATTTGGTTGTACAGAGGTACAATTTATATAAGAAATGCAGAATAACACTTGTTTTCCCTTTACTAGTTTTCAAAATACTGAATTGGCTCCTCATTTTCCTCTACAGGGGATCGTTTAGGTTTTTTTTTTTTTTAATTATTATTAACTCATGGATTTAAACTTTGATGTGTGTTGCAACACATTGAAGTTATTATTCTTATTGGACATCAAATTGTCCCAGTTTTGGCCAATGGTGTGCTCTTTAGATTGTCTCCTGAGTCCTTTTGACACATCCTTGGTAGACTTTGAAAGCTTCCTTGCTTTCTGGTATGACACAATGTCCTAGGCTCATTTTGAACATTTACTGCTCAGACGTGGAATCACCCTTTTCTCTAAGAAGCCCTGGTTTTTTTTTTTAGAGGAAAATGGTATTTCAGGAACATAATCTGGGCATATGTTAAAGATGCTCATTCATTATTTTAGAGAAGCTGCAGGCAGGCAGAGAGAAGAGGCTACAAGGTGCACATGCTCCAGGACCTCCTATGACTCACTGCATCCACATCTGAGCCATGATTTAATACTGTATCATGTAGGTTCTTTTGTTAACATACATACTTAAACAGGTGCTATACTCATGATTCAGAAATTACAATGATATGTAAAGAAAGCTACATGGAGAAATTTGCTTCCATCCCTATTCCCATCCATCCTGTTTCCCTAATAAAGATAAGTCCTTTTTAATAGTGAGTCCTTCCAGTGTTTCTTTATTCAGATTCAAGCCAATACAAAATTTTAATACTACCTTATTTCATAAAAGCATCTTGCTTTATTGACTTATTCATATATTCTGAGGATCCTCTTATAATCGCACATAAAGAGCTTCCTCATACTTTTTCTTATAGCTGCAGAGTCAATCTCCTAATAAATAAAAGTTCATTTAACTCGCTCCTGACAGCTGGGCACTTGGGCTATTTCTAATCTGTTGCTGTTGGAAGCAGTGTTGGATGAATAGCTTTGTTCACATGCCTCTTGGAATATAGTTGACATATCTCCTTAGCATAAAATCCCAGAAGTGGGAAAATAGGATCACTGGTTCAACATAACTGCGCTTGTCATTTGAGTGGATTGTGCCCCATTGCCCCTCCTGGTGCTTTTACCATTTTGTGCTCCCGGTACCCATTTCCCCACAGGTTCTCCAGCTGAGCATGTTTCAGATCTTAAATTTTTTTTTTAATATTCTACATGAAAAATGGTATTTCAGTGTTGTTTTTATTTGCCTTTTTCAAAATTAAGTGAGGTTGAGCATCTTTGCACGTTTGAGGTCCTTTTGTTTTTCTTTTCTGGTAATGCATTTTCATGTCCTTTGACCCACTTCCTTTTGGGTTGTTGGTCTTTTTCTCCTTGATTGCTCAGAGTCTTTATGTTAGTAAGATTAGACTTTTGTCTGTCCTGTGAGCTTTGCTTATTTTTTTCCAGTCTGTCATTTATTGTATGACTTTGCTTATGTGTGTACATGTTTTTTTAAGTAATGCAGAAATACTCTTTACTTTTATGTAGTCAAATATATTCCATTTTTCTTTTATGGCTTCTGGGTTAGCAGGTTACTTCAGAGGCACATTAATAATAGCTTTATGGAAAATCTGATACCTGCGCATGTTCAGTAGACATATTAAATAAAATTCCCGTCTTGACCACCATCATGGTTTACTTTAGCACTGTATGCCCTGCTCAGGCGTTGGGATAAGCTCAGTTTCCCTACAGCTGCGCCTGTTGATGCTCCCCACTCAGGCTGCCACCAGGGCAACCAGTGCCCACATTTCCTGGGCTGGGACTCTCGGCCTCTCTCTCCCTTTTAGCCCAGCTCAGAGGCCTCTCTCCGCTCTCTGAGACCCCAGTCTCAAGGTGTGGGGAGAAAAGAGTCCCTCTTAGACTGTGTTCCTGGAGTAGACAAGCCCCTGACTGGCACCCCAGCCCTGACCCACAGGCAAGTTTTTGACCCCTGGGCTTCTCACGTGCACCCAGGTCCCAGTTCTAGGCTTCATTATAACACCCACAGCTCATCTTCTGGCTGCTTGATGAGTGCAGTCTTCTTTCCTGGCACCCGCCAGGACACTAATATTTGCAAGTGGGCCTGGGGATCCTCCCCCGAAATGCACACACGTTTGTGCACACATGTACACGCCTCCTGAAGTGAGCCCTGACAGCTTGACTAATGCCCAGGTGGCTCATGGCAGCATTTTGCTCCATAGTGTCAGCAGAGTCCACCAGGGATGCCTGTGTTTTTTCTTATGATCCAGTAGTTCTTCCCCAAAATGAAAGCATTACAAAAATGAATAGAGGTTACTGGGCTATCCGGTAGGAAATTCAGTGTTAAATTTCTGAGCCTGAATGCTGTCCATCCTACGTGAACCCTGTAGCAGCCTTTCTTGGTGGCCTCTTTATACCATCATCCACCTGGCTCCGTGTGAAAGACGGGGGTGGGGATCATCTGGTCACCGATGCCAGTCTGTGTGGCAAGGCCCCTCCTCACACTCATTTCTGTGCATCCTCAATACTGAAGTTCGTGTTGCAGTGTTTATTTCGTTCAACAGGGCTTCATCCATTTGTACAGGGGCCATGATCATCTCCTAAAAGATTGTTTTGTTTTATTTTTATTTTGTCTGTGAACCAAGAGTAAACATAGTTTCTTCAAATTTAGAAGAATTGGAAAGCCGTGAAAAGTTAATGGAGTTTTAGAAATCCAGTATATCAAACTTTTCTTAAAATAATAAGGAGTTAACTTTATATTTGAGTCACAGATTATAGTGTTTTTTGTTTTTGGTTTGTTACTTTTACAGAAAAAGACACTATGGACGTGTGGTGCAATGGTAAAAGAATGGAGACAGCAGTAAGTTGACCCTTTGATTACTCTTAGCGCTGTGGGGAAGGGTTGCCACTGAAATGTTGCTGTGTTTCCTAATGGTGGAGATTGATAATTAACCCAAGGTCCTCTTGGTTAAGAACAAGAGAGAGATGAAGTACTCCTGACTCCAAATTCTGAAGGCCTTTCCAGGACAGTGCCTGGGGCAGGGAGGGCTCGGAAACGCCTTCTGTTGAGAGCTGGCCCCAGCCTCATGTGCTGCCGTTCCTCTCCTGGACGAGGCTCTGTCCTAAAAGGAATTCACGCATCAGAAACTGCCCCATAGAGGTTGGTGTCCTCCTCTGTTTGTCCAAGTTGAGGTTGGGCTTCATACCGCAGCTCCTCAGACCTGCATGTGTAGGAATCACCTGGGATCTTGTTAAAATGCAAAATCTAACATTTCCCCTGGTGCCAGGGTGGTGTGTTGGCCCATGGTTCACACTCTGATTAGGAAGGCTTTACACCATACCCTCAAAGCAGATAGTACTTTTCTAAAAGTGATGTTTTTGAAAAAGAAGTGATGCACACAATGTCAGATGACACGAAGGCAGATAGGAAAGGGCCCTGTCACAAACCCCAGAAGACAAGTGGAATTTGTAAACCAGCAGTGCCAAGAGGCTGCCCCACTCATTGTGGCCAAGCGTGATGACATCCCCATCAAACCCCAGAGTGTCCGGCCTTTGCTGTCAGCTGCTTGCCTTGTTACAGTTCTGGGTGGGCGGGATGACTATTGGAGTGATTTCAGGGAGAATGAAATAGTGGTGTGCCTAGCACAGGGAGCAGGGGAGTGTGGGACTGGGAGCTGCAGTCCCTGGGTGGAAATTCCCCAGGGCTGGGGGTTGTGCTGGCAAGCGGGGGGTACTAACCCTGGTCCCCGCCTTGCATGCTGGCTTCCGGCGTGAACACCGGCGCTAGAGATAATGAGACCCACTCTGCTCTAGTCATGTTTTAGCTGGTTGCCCCATGGTAGGTGCTGCCCTTGTCCCCTTCATCTGTTGTAGGTATAGGAAGGTGAAGAGAGGTGCTCAGAGGGCAGAGGTCTGGGATGAGTTTATTCAGCCGCTATCTAGGACCTACCTGCTGGGTCTTGTGGCTGTCTGCTTCTGAGGAAGTGCCTGTGCCAGAAATCAAACGTTACAAAGATAGATGCTTCTCTCTTTCTTAATCCTGGTTTGAATTCTTGAAGGGTTATTTAATCAGGGCTCACTCGGAATCCATCGCCAGAACTTGAGCTGCTCACTCTCCGGGTTAAATCTACTGACAGAGACTTCTTTTATGCAGAGACGTTTGGAGAGCTCTGTCTGTGTTTTGTGACCCCTGTGGAATAGCTTCAGTTATCATTAGCATGGATCAGGCCCCTACTGGTCCTTCCTGTCCTTTCCTTCCTACCCTAGAATTCTCTAGATGCCGAATCGGCAGTTTTGAATCCTGTTCTCTCCCACTCTCAAGGAATTCTCCAATGCAAATGTAAAGAGAATGTTGTTTTGTGGTATTAAGAATGTGGTTGTAAATAAGAAGTTGAAAGTAATGTTCATCCACAATGTCTGCTCCTCAGTAATTACCAGGGAACCACAAGTGTTTGGACAGTAGCTCTTTATAACCCAGTTGCCTCCTCATTGTAACTCGAACCTAATTTGCAGAGTAGTTTCTGCAGCTCCGCATCTGGGCAGCCTTCCCCAGGTTGCGCACACCTGCTCTTGCGGTGCATGAGCTACAGTTTATTTTCTTCTTTTTCTTTCCATCTCAAAGCATCATGACCAAGATTATGTATCTGGCAAATCGTGCACCTGCAAGGTCCTTGTGGTGGTGTCAGTACACTTCCGGTAAAGAGCCACCGGCCAAATCCTCCCCACAGCTCGGAAAAAGCTCTCCCTCGTGCGTCCAGTGCTTTCTTAGGCTGTGGGACCCTGCTTGCTCTGCTCTGGCTGCCAGGAAGCTCGTAGCCAAGTTTTAAGTCTGATTGTACTTTCTTTGCTTTCTGGCATAGTCCACTTTCATCCTCAAAGCCTCCTGTTCTTCCTTTCTTCTCTGCACTGCCTGGCCCCTATCTTTTTACTCTAGATCAGTCCTGCTCAGTAAACATGTAACATGAGCCACAGGCATGAGTTTCATGTGTAACTTTTCTAGTAGCCACATTTTAAGTTTTAAGGTGAAGTTCATTTTAATAATATCTTTGATTTAAATCAATATATCCAAAATACTAAATTTTAACATCAGTATAAAAAGGTTTTAGAGTTATTTTACATTCTGTTTCATTCTAAGTCTTCCACACTCCGTGTATATTTTGCACTGAAACAGCACATAGCATTTCAGACTCAGCACATTCAAGTGCTCAGTTGCCCCCCGCGGCTGGTAGCTGCTGTGGCGGACAGAACAGGGCGAGATTGGGTAGTGCTTGGTTTTATGTTACCTGTGTATTTTACTGTAAGCCACCTTACGATCTGAGGAATCAGGTTTTCAGAGTGGGTTAAGAACATTCTCTCCCTTCCTGACTGGGGCCTCCTGCAGTTATTTCACCACTCCGTGCCTCGATTCCCTCGTCTGTACGGTGAGGATAGTAATAGTGCTTCTGTCAGGGTTATGGTGAAGGTGCAATGAAGTAACATGTGCAAACTGTTCTCGATATAGAGTAAGTGACTCGGGATAAAATAAGTGCTTGCTATCATGCTTATTATTTTTACTTTTAAAAATAGTCACTCTTGTCTCATAGTGCATGTTATAGACACACATCCACGAGATGTAAGGGGCTTTTTTCCTCTGAAACTTAAGATTGTTCAAGATAGTAAGCAGGTACAAATAAACGTTCAGTTCACAGCAGAGATGGAAAAGCATCTAGCAATACAAGCTTCTAACTTTAATTTTCCAAAGTTTAACATTGAGCTAATAGATACTTCATTATGCCGCCCTTTTTAGATGGTGTTAATGCTCTAGACAAAGTTAAATGTTTCTGGAACACTAATTCCTCCTTCTTTTGTTGGCCTAGGGTGAGTTTGTAGATGACGGGACTGAAACTCACTTCAGTGTTGGGAACCATGACTGTTACATAAAGGCTGTCAGTAGTGGGAAGCGGAAAGAAGGGATTATCCATAGTCTCATTGTGGATAATAGAGAAATTCCAGAGATTCCTGAATGACTTCATGATAGTGAATTTTAATCTTAAGAGGTAAAGATGAAGACTTTTAAATTACTGTGGTAATTAAATATGTTCGTTATGTACTTTTCAGTACACTTAGTCTGCCAGGTGTTTATTTTTTAGTTACTTGAAACTAATATTCCAAGGGTCAAAAAAAATTATGTACAATCATAAAAATTGCAATTCATTTTGTAAATAATATAAAATGTTTTAAAGCCAAATGGAAAATAAGATATGGACCAAAATCACTCGTTTTACAAGAGAACTTTTTAATAAACACTATAAAATAAAATTGGTGCTGTTTGATTTGTATTTCTAAAAATGGATATCTTCATTAAAAAAAAATTTTTTTTTTTTTAATTTTAGAGAGAGAGCACATGAACCAGGGGAGGGGCAGAGGGAGAGAATCTCAAGCAGAATCCGTGCTGAGCACGGAGCCTGATGCGGGGCTCGATCTCACAATCCTGAGATCATGACCTGAGCCGAAACCAAGAGTCAGATGCTTAACCGACTGCACCACCCAGGTGCCCCTATCTTCATGTATTTTTAACTTATGGAGGTAGATTGTCTCTTTAGTTTAAAGCAGTTGGTACATAATATGATTAGTTTAACTGGAGAAAATGAGAAACATTTTCTGTCTGGAAACTTTAATATTAAATAAATGCCAAATAGTGTCATATAAGAATTTAATTAAAAATGGGTTTCTGAAAATGTCATTGTTTAATCAGCACAGTGAGGACAAAACAACAGGAACGAGAAGCAAACTTCTTTACACCAGACTGCCTCAGTTGCATCCTCAGGCAGTGTTGGAAAATGTCAAGCTGCATCTGGTGTTGGGAGATGAGGCAGGCCCACTGCTGGCACACTCTCCGAGGCGGCCTCGTCAGTATGGGGAGTGCCTGAGATTGTGACTCTCTTTCAGGGCAGGATATAGCATACTAGTAGGGCCTTTTATCAGGGTGTCTCATGTCCATTACCACACGGCGATCCTCTGAGAGGAGAGGTTCTCCATTTTCTAGACTTGCTCTGTCCAATATGGGAGCCATTAGTCACGTGGCTATTTGAGTTAAATTAATTAAAATTAAATACATTTGTTAAAAAATCCCTCCATCACACTAGCCACATTTCAAGTGCTCGTAGTCGCCTGGGGCTGGGGGCAACCATATTGGATAGTGCAGATACAGACATTTCCCTCATCCTACCACATTCCATGGACAGCACTGGCCTGCCTAGCCTGCTTCAAGTTTCCTGAGCTCCTCACTAGTGGCACAGGCAAGATTTAAATCCAGGTTTTTTCTGACACTGAAACCCATGCCCTTTACTACTAATCTCCCTGCCACTAACATATTTCTAAGAGATCTGCGGCAGAACAGAGGTACGACCAGGTTCAAGGGCCAGGAAAGAGGAACCGAGAGGAGAACAAGGGAACAGAGAGGGAGGGTGGCTCAAACAGGCCTGGGCCAGGTAGGCAACGTGCTGGGTGGTGGAGTGAGCATAGTAAAATTAGCCTGTGACTGCTTGCTTCCTCTAACATTTTTTTTCAAGTCTTCCCAATTGGCGGGTCCACATACCTTGACAGAAAGTGCCCCCTGCTCTCCCTCCTCCATCCCTCAGCTCTGCTTCATTGCCCCTGGAAAACCAGATGAACAAAGAGGGACTCTTCTGGGGCTTCTTAAACTCACATTTGGGTGTTGTCTAGTGTTTGGGTATTGTTTTCTTTTCTCTTGAATAATGGGCTTCTTCTAAGGGCCATATTTTATCGGGACCAAAAAAAAAAAAAAGATTCAGACCATGTCCAAAAGCAAAGCAAATGTTTTTAGGCACTTTGTTTTGAACTCTAGTTATTAGAGGTCAAAACCTGTGCTTTTCGAGGGCATCCTGTCCCACAACAAACACTTGAGGATACAGTTTGATTCAGTCTTTGTGGAAACCAAACCTGAGGGGGTAGTTTTGCTTCTGACTTGGTGAACCCATTTGTTTTGTTAATGCAAAGCAGCATCGTGATGTAAAAGGAGCGCAGCCTGGATTTGAAGTTTGGCACAGGCTCGGTTCTTGAGCCTCAGGCTCCTCATCTTAAAAAATGAGCCTATTTGTTTTGTTGTTTTAGTTGTTGAATGAGATGCTTGAGATGTACAAAAATAGAAATATGACAGTTGTATTCTTTTAACTAGGCATACCATTCACCCAGGTTAATAACAAAAGCATTACCATACTGAAGTGAGTGCTATATGCCCTCCCTATCCCCAGGCCCCTGCCTTGCCCCAGTAATCACTGTTATGATTTGGATGTTTATCATTCCCATGCAAGTCTACATTCTTTTACCATATAGGCATACATCTCTAAACAATACACAGTATTATTTAAAATGTTAAATATCCTATTCTTGTATCCTTCCTGCAGCTTGCTTTTTTTTCCCACTCAACATTGTTTTTGAGATTTATCTCGGTTGGCATGTGCAACTCCAGTTCCTTTTAACTCTTGCTTTTAACCATACGAATTTAGCTACCTACTCACCCCAGTAGTTTTCAGAAGCTCATTAATACCATCCGTGCTCTAATGAACATCTCTGTGTATGTCCCTTGAGGATATGCATGAGTTTCTCTTGGGCCTTGCTGTTTAAAGGTGTCCCTGGACTAGCAGCAATGACATCACCTAAGAGCTTTTTAGGAATTAAGAATCTCTGGTCCTTCCCCAGGCCTACTGAAACACAATCTGTGTTTTAACAAGGCCCCGTGGTGATTTATATGTACATCAAAGATTGAGAAGCACTGCCCTAAGGATATTCTGAAGTGGAATTGCTAAATCAAAGGGTAGGTATATTGTCAGTATTAGGTATTTGCCAAATTGCTCTCAAAGGTGGTTGTACCATTATAAATTTTGAAGAAGTTCTTTTCCTCATGTTTTCAACACTTGAAGTAGTCAGGATTTTAAAATTTTGCCAATCCACTGGTTTTTAAAAAATCCTGTATCATTTTACTTTATTAAGTTTTTATTAATTTAAGTAATCTCTACACCCAATGTGGAGCTCCAACTCACAACCCCAAGATCAAGAGTTTCACGCTCTTCTGAGTGAGTCAGCCAGGTGCCCTGAAAAAAATGGTATTTCATTTTATTTTCTCTGATGAGTGGTGAAGTTGATTGTCCTACATGTTTATTGGCCGCTCACGTTTTCTTTTCCAAGAATTACCTTTTCTTTTGCTTGTTTTTCTATTGAGTTGACATTTTCTAATAGATCTGTAGTTCTGCATATATTCTGGAACTAATCTTTTGGCTGTAGCCTTTCCCTTATAGCAGTACAAAATGTGCATGAGATCAAGTCTCCCAGTTATCCCTCTAAATTAATACAGTATCTACTTCCTCTAATAAGCTTGGAGGGCAGGGACCACATACTCTTGTATCCCCCAGGACTTAGCACACGCCTCACTGACAGTAGACAGATTCATGTTACTGAGGCTCAAAGGTCTGGGCTGGAGCTGTACAAACGGGCATCATCTGCATTTGGGGGAGGTTTAAAGCAATGGGAATGGATGACAATCAACTAGGGATTTTGTAGACAAAAAAAAGGGAGCCTAAAATTAAACCCTGAAGAGCTGTATAGTATTTGAGATTGGCCAAGGGCAAGGAAGATTGTCATTAAGAAAGAAAATTCTGAAGCTATAAAACAAAAGACAGACATATTTGACTATGTAAAAATTTGAAAGTTGTATGGTTAAAAAATACTACAAACAAAGCTAATAATAGATTTGGGGGAAATTTGTAAAAGACAAGGGTCAAGATATATATAAAGAGCTCTTAGAAGTTGGTAAGAATCAGGCTAATTGTAAAATGGAAAGGATATGAATGAGCTATGGAAAATGAAATCAAATAGCCAGCAAGTATATTTTTTAAATGCTCAAATTAATTTGTAGTTAGGAAAATTATTTTAACAATGAAAACAGCAAAGAAAAAGAACAATGACATATTGCTGTTGGGGATGTAGAAGGTTAACTTTGAGGTTAAAATAAGTATTCTAAGTTCTTAGGGGAAAAAATCTGATGTTTGTTAAATTTAAAAATTCCATTTACATAAAATTCAAAAACAGGGAAAACAGGCAAAAACTAATACATAGTTTTAGAAGTCCACATAATACTCACTTTAGAAGGGAGTTAGTAACTAGGAGCATGAGAAGAATTTCTGAGGTGATAGTAATTTTCTATTTGATGTGGGTGCTAGTTACAAAGATGTATTTACTTCCTGAAAATTAATGAAGTTATTTAACTATATGATTTTTACCTTTCTGCCTATATGTTCTATATGAATGTTAAATTTCAATAAAGATTTTAAGGTGTACTTACAATAAAGTGTTTTAAGACAGCATGTGCACACACACACACTTCTACTGGGAATCTATCCCATAAAAACAAAGCCATCAATAACAATATATAAGAATATATACATAAGTATACATATAAGAATATATACATAAATATATGTTTATTGCAGCATTGTTTATAGTGGGAAAAAATTGGAAATTGCGAATGCCCATCTACAGAGAAATGATTGAATATAATACACCATAAACTATAATCCATCCATTTAGAATGAACTGCAGAGATTTCCATAAGGTACTTCTGAGTAAAAGAAAAGCGAGTTGCAGAAAAGCAGGTATAACATAGTGCAATTTTGTAAAAAAAAAAAAAAAAAGACCCCCTATATAATGTGTATGTCTTTATATAAGCTTTCTGTACACAATTTTGAAAGCATGGAGAGAAATATGGAAGGTTACAAACAGCATGAGCTAGTGGGGATGGGGAATGTTGTTGATGATGGGGAATGGGTAACCAAATAAAATTCAAAAAAAAAATTAAGGGGGCACCTGGGTGACTCAGTCGTTAAGCGTCTGCCTCCGGCTCAGGTCATGATCCCAGGGTCTTGGGATCGAGCCCCACATCAGGGAGCCTGCTTCTCCCTCTCCCACTCCCCCTGCTTGTGTTCCCTCTCTCACGGTGTCTCTGTTAAATAAATAAAATCTTAAAAAAAAAAAATTAAGATTCCACTTTTAAAAACTAGGCATTTATCACATTTATGCATTTATGTACAAATTTTTTAAAAAGAAATATACAAGGAAAAAATAGATTGGATAGAGAAAGTGTTAGTAAAACAGATTGAGGAGTGTTTTGAGATGGTAGAAAATCCTAAGATATAAAAGGAAAATCCTAAGATGTAGAAAGTATTACAAAACATGAATAGTTAACTACGTCACATTGCTGCTTAGGTGAGGAGCATGAGAACTGGAAAGTGTCCATTAGATTTGGCAACATCCAGGATGTTGGTGACAAAATTAATGAAATCAATCTGAATGAAATGAAGCAAAAGCCACATTAAAGTGGGTGGAGAGTTAGTTAAGTAGGGTTAAGAGTGAAGTTGGGAAAGGTAATGCTGACAGTTCTCTTGCTAATGACAACTTAATAAAAATGATCAAAATATAAAACATATCTTCTTGAAGGCACCAGAGAGCTAAAAAGGCAGTGATGAATTTCTATGCCAAGATGTAGCAGAAGACAGAAACCCAAAATTGTGAGCCAGGCATTTGGAACCACTTAACCCTAGGAATGTTCACTGACTCCACAAGAGGTAAAGAGACTAAACAGCACTTTGGATAGCTTAGCAGGCCTAGGGA